GGACATCACAACAAGGAGAATGCGCACGTCAGCCCCTCCCGAAGCCGCCACAAGTACTGGCATGCGGACCGATCCGAACATTGAGCCTGCTCACTTATCCTGATGCGTTCTTGAGGTTAGTGCGCTGCATGCGTTGCTCAGCTGGTGTCTAAGGGCTCAGGGTACCTTTTAGAGCTTAGGGGGCCCTTGTACGGGATTCCGCCAATTCAGGCAGTTTCAAGCAGGTCCATCAAGACGAACAAACTTCTTGCGACGATTGCCCGTCTTGTTGATACTACTGCTATGTTCGTTGTGAGGCTTTCTACTGATGTTGACCATGCAATAAAGATACGTGCCGGCACTCTATTGTCCGGACTTGTTCTTACAACTAGCGTTAGTTTGGATATGCTCTCAAATCTGTGCACGTTCCTGGTAGTGATCGTTAGTGCTTCCCTCGATCTCCGCGATTCCCGTCGCGATTCCGTGCCTAGGAAGGCCCCGATCGAACCGCCCTAAGCCCCTATCAAGCTTAAATAATACAACTGAAGAAACCAAAACCAAAACTGTAAACCTATAACACCCAAAACTCAAACTGAAACTCTCGAAACCCTGACTCGGTAAACCAATCGTAGCTTAGGGGCAGCTCGATGCTGCAATTGTCGGCTGGGAGGCCACCGATCCACACCTTCCTGAGCTTTCACCCAGGGAGTTTCTTGCAACTAGAGGCCCCAGCTGTTCCGCATGCAGTAGGATGCTCTTGTTTCGGGTTTAGGATATATGTTCGAATCGCTTCTGGTTTGAAACTCGCACAAACAGAAAGGTGTGGAGAGGCTAGCGGTATTATACAAGGTTTCTTCAAAAACTCCATCTTACAAGCTACTATAGAACTCCATGAGTTTTTCTTCAGACTTGCACCAGACTCCTCCACAGCGGTGGAGAAGGTTTTATACTTACGGAGATTGCGTAGGGTGTAGGTTGGAGCTGGCTCAGGCATGCTACTTTGCAGCGACTTGAAGTGATTTCGTAGGGCTTCTGCCGCAAGCATGCCTCAACTGTCGCACCACCTCGCGCGCTCTGCCTGCGGAAACCCCAAACCCACATGTGTGCCCAAAACCCCTGTCCTAAATGTAAGCCGCAAACCCCAAACCCGAACGCCCACAGCCAACTCCGAACCCTGAGCCCCGAAACCTAAACTCCAAACTGCATAAATATGATACCTACCCCCTGCCCCACAGCTCCTAAGCCATATAAACCCGACAGCAAGACCTTACATCCCTGAACCCCGGAAGCCCCAACCCACTGCAGCCAGCGGGCAGCTTCTGATCAAAACTCCTCAGGCCGCCCTTGCCCTTACCCTGGCAGCAAGGCCGTTGCTTCGCAAAACGAGGTTGAATGAAGACTTTGACAAAGCCTTTACATAAAAGGGCTTCTTCGGGTTGGAAGGGCTATACCCTCTCGGTGATGGCTTTTTGCTTTTTTAAAGAGAGGTACATGAAAAGACTGTGCTGGGTTGCACAGAGGCTTTCTTAAAGGTTTGGCCTGCAGTTTTGGGCTTCATAGAGCGAAAAGGCTTCAATTTTGCAATGCCTTCGCTTCAGGTGCCCGCAAACTGCCCTCTGGCAGGGTCTTCACAGAAAGCCTGCTGTATAGCGCCAGGGATCCAAAGATGAAAGCTGCAAAAGATTTGGATGGGCAAAAGATGTGGATGAGCCGTACCCATAGGCCCAACAGTAGTTCCTCTTTGGGGTTCATATTTAGAACGCTATAAGGTACCCCTTAAGGTACCCCCAAAAAGGAATTACTGTGGGGCCTATGGGTAATCAGTAGAACAATGTTTTGGGGCATAAACAACCTGGTGTTGCGAGGACACTCTGGGTAATTGCTCCGACCCCATATTTGGCACTCTGGGCGGAAGGTTTCGGCGGTTGGAGAACATAAGTTCTCTAAGAATGAATGAAAGAGACCCCGATAATTCTGCAATCAAGCCTTTTATATGGCCTGACACGGCAGAGCTTAGACTTCGTGTCGTCATAACTGTCGTCATCGCCCCCTAGTATTTCTTGGACAAACTGTAGGGCCTGGGCCTCGTAGGCTCTGATAGGGTCTCGTTGCGATTCACAAGGCTTCATTCTAGGACTCTGGGGCCTGAAGTGCTCTCTCTCCCTCCCTCTCTGTGACTCAGAACTCCGCAGGAGTTTTGCTCAAGCTTCACATGTGCTGAGAAGAAAGCAGCTGCCTCCCACACTTCCATGCTAAGGCAAAAGCAAAACCAAACCTGCACCCGAAGGAAGCTTTGCAAATCTATGCCACACAATCAAACCCCAACTGTCAGTGCTTTATAACTGGCCCTAAAAGAACAAATCTCATAGTACAGGGGCTTACCAGCTTACCATTTGAAGTAGGGTTTGGGCGGGTTTGGGTACAGTATATTCCACTGTAATTAACATGGGTACTGTACGGCAATACTCTTCCTAACAGTCGGAGAGGTCCCTGCCCTGAAACCTATGATAGGGTTTGCGGTTTCAAGTTTAGGGTTCAGGGTTCAAGGTTGAGGGTTTAAGGTCTAGGGTTCCGGGTTCTTGTAAAGCTCCAAAATCCAACAAACCCCCCTCGAGGGGCCTTCCCCTTCATCATGGACATCATCCTCGGCTGCTCAGTAACCCACTAGGCAAAGTATATACTTCTTGGTTAATTAGTCAGGCATATTTTAGTTGAGAAAAAACAAATCAAGAAAAGATGCCAGCACTGACAAAAATGCAAAAAATGATACCACTGAGCATCCTAGCATCCAGGGGTTGTAGCCAAACCATGGGTTCCAGCCCCCGCCCTTTCCTGGGCTGCACAAGTTTCTGGTTTTGGGCTTTTCGTTTGAAGGCTTGTGAGTTGTAGGGTGGGCTTTAGGGTTTGGGTTCATTTCGGCACTTGGGGTTTGGAATTCGGCATGTAGGTTTTGCACATACAGCTTTCGACGGTGCAGCGGTGTGACATGAGAGGGTGCTTGAAAACAGTTAATTCTGAACCCCGCGCTCTCAACAGCAAACTGACAAGTGCATTTCTGCCAATTCCCTCCAAGTCTCCCTTACCGTCGCCGTAGCCCATGGCGGCAAATGGATGATCCAGCTACCCTGATGTGGCTGTAACCAGCTGCTGGCGCACGGGCACGACGTAATTTGAAAAGCAGCAAAGACAGGAAGAAACCCACGGTCCAAAATCCGTCCAGCATCCAACTGCTGACAATTCACAAGGCCATGAACCTTCCGCCATCCCAGTTACAGCCCCAAACCTGTGTCAGCAAGTCGTTGGCAGCACAGATTTCCAACCACAGACATCCTAAACGAAAGAATCTGGCTCACGGGGTGGCACCAAGTCGTAGTGTGTATGTAGGCGTTTAGGCTCTGGGATGAAGCCGTCAGAATCAAGCCACTGATCTCAAGCTCTTGCATGCTTTTTGGTTCAAGATCGCGCGGTTTGAAGTTTTTCGCCTCCCGGCTTAAGCTTGACACACTTCTCGAAAGCCGTTACCCCTAAACCTTTAGCCCGGTGTGCATAGGGTTGGTGGGTCCGAGTTATGTCCAAACCGTGCCGCTCCCTCATAGGAGGTCAAGGAAGGAATGATGTGCAAAAGTGCAAAGCCAGAGTTTAGTTTTAGGGCTTAGGGCTTAAATTCCGACAGCCTCAACTTGTCATGCTTACATTGAATTTGCTGGGTATTTACTAGTACTTCCACAGAGCCATGACCGAGGTTTCTGAATCCAGCAGCAATGGTTAACTCATTACCCAGAGGGTCCACATAGACTACTATTATGGAATCAGGCCCTAAAACACCATCCCCATTATGGTTTTGGGGAGCTAATTAATAATAGTGGTGTATATGGACACTCTGGGTTATCAGTTTGCCCCAAGGCCCCATAGCAGTTCCTTTTTGGGGTTCATCAGTAGAACCCTATAAGGTAGTCCCAGGAAGAGCTACTATGGGGCCTGTGGGTGGTTTCGAGTCGCTGGTACGCTGGGCTCTGGGCCTTGAGCAAGTTGAAGCGATTGGGCGTCGCGTCCACTTCCTTGAGCTCGAAGTAGGAATCAAGGAAGCCTGCAACCCACGAAGAGTCATATCTAGGGTTTAGGGTTTAGGGGTTTAAGCGGTTAGGGTTTAGCAATTTAGGGTTTAGTCCGCCGAGAACAGGAAGATGAAGACTCGGATGCGTTCGGAGAAGTGTTTATTCGTCCCTGCATGTTGGTGCCTCTCGGGGGAGTTGCACCTACATCCATAACCCTCGACGGCCCTAAACCCTGAGAAAAAAGACTCTTGAAAACAGTCTAACACAGGGGACCGGGGCCGTGGGTTTGACAGAGAGTTATCCTGATAAGAAACCCTCGCGCATGGTATAGCATTAGTTGCTGGTTATTCAATCCGCTCGAAGGGTGGACTTTCATACTCCCGAGTTGCTCAAACTCTTCGGGGTTTTTCGAGCTTCCACGGATATGAAAAGACAGCGTGCTGTCGAAGGTCAGCTGGGATTTTTTTCACAAAGACTGTTAATTCAGTTCACAGCTGTTGACACTTAGAGACTAGTGCAGTTGCTTGTAAACAAGGGAGAATCGACCAGTGAAGGGCTTAAGTACTTGCAAGTGTTACGACAGCATTCTGTTTCGCACGCAAGCCACAAACGCACCCGATTGCACGCACCCGGTCTCGTGCCACTTTGGCTATTCCATAATGATCCTGCAGGCTTGATAAAGCCCTCATGCCTTCGAGACAGGCGGCCGTTCACCGAACAGGGACCTTATTGCTACCGTCCGTACCACCATGCACCACATCGGAAGCAGTTCTGCAGCCGCCATATACGATCTGCCACTGCCGTCTACCAGCCCAACTTTGAGGCTGTACGTGAGGTTAGATCAAGCCATGCTGCATCAAGCAAAAGCAAAACATCACCACCCTGGGCGGCCAGTGCCTTTTCAGAACGCTTGGATTCGCTCTTAGACTCGCCCTCCTACTCTAGAACGTCGCTTTGGGGAGCTGTTCACAGCAGTCTCAAAAATGGAGACCGACGATATGAACAGAATTGTTCAGGCCCCCCCGTGCCTTGCTGCATCCTGAGCAGAGTCGGGTGGAAACGGCCGTCGTCCTTCATCTCGTCGAAAACCTTCCAGGGAACGGGAGATTCGGAGCAATCTTGTTCCGAGCAAGGATGCGGGTTTCGGGGTTCAGGCACTACTGCAGGAGGGCTCTTTTGCCTCCTGCAGACATTGCTGAACAAGTCGCTAGGCAGGGTTGAAAGGCACATCCCAAAAAATCAGCATGCAAAAAACACTGAAGTGTTTAGGGCAATGGGGAAGTTGGTTGGATGTTCATTGCTTCGAGCATCAGGTGTCGGAGTCCAGGTGTTGGAGTTCTACCCACATCGACCCTACTCCAAGTCACCTGGTGTGCCAGCTCATCGTCTTTCTTCGGGTGGAGGATCAAGCCATACATCGCGAAGTTGTAAGTGACCTTGGCCATATCTGCCGCAGAACTGTGGAGGCTGTTCCGAATGACTAATAGCAATAGTGGCATTCCCTTGTTCTCTCAATAGTTACCTCATAACACAATACCACCCCCCTCCAACAGAAAAACATCCCAGATTGTACTGGATGAATAGGGGGACTCAATGAAGCTTCCACCTGCCTATCTAAGCTCGGGCTCCGACTTCGTCGAATTGAATGTCTCGCTCTCGCCTTGTGGAGAGACGCACTTTGGGTGTGGGGCGGCCCCGCTATAGAATCCTATATACCCTAAACCCTAAACCCTAAACCTTAAACCCTAAACCCTAAACCCTTCACAGGGGACCCTATGAGAGAACCTATTTTTGCCTCCCGCCTTACTAGGACGAACCTACGATGCAAGGTCTCTTGACTGCTCACCAATAGAACCTATCATACCCTTCGGGTTGAGGGTTTGGGACCCTATTATAATACGGCACCTAATATTTAGGGTAACCCAAAAGGGACCATGATTTTGACAACTACCCCTATAGTCTCCATTGTAGTTCCTTTTTGGGGTTACCTTATAGGATCTCAAGTATATATTCGGTTGAACCATATTCCCGTTTAAGGGTTTGGGACCTTGGGACCTTGGAGATCTTAAAATCAAAGGGGGGAAGGAGGGACCCTTAAGGGGGACCCCTACCCCATAATGGGCTATATGATGGGTATATAATAGCTATATTAAGGGTATATACCTAGGGGTCCTTACTGCTGATGGACAAAATCCTGCATGACCCTAAGGACTTTAAACTCTGGGAACTATGGTATATTCCTTATAATAGGTAATGCAGGATTTTGTCCATCAGCAGCAGTATTAGGGGCCCCTCCTTTTCTTTTTGGATAAAACCACCCGAAGCCGGGGCTGCTGCAGCCGTTCGAGGCAGACTTCGAAGCGGCGCCAATCTCGCCTCTTTCGGGCCCGAAATAGCAAGCTTCTAACTAGATCCCTTTAGGGAACCCCTATAGATCCCTTTTAAGGAGCCCTTTAAGTTCTTGTCTTCTTGAAACTGTACTGAACTTAGAACCCTAGCAAGAATTAGAATTTTAGCTGTTTCTTAGGGTTATAATAACCAAAAACTGAAAATTATTTCTAAGTGCCCCTAAGCTAACACGGCTTTATGTTCGGGTAGATCAACGGCGCAGCTGGATTCAATGCGACGAGCTAAGCCGCCAAGTCTGAGACCCTTCAACCTGAACCCTAAGCCCTATGACACCCTAATCCTAACTTCCGGGGGCAGGGGTTGGGGAAGACTCAACAGCCGACGAACTGACGTCGGCATCCGTCTGGAACATCCCGTCTCATCATAGTTTGAAGCCTCTTCCCAAACGCTAAATCCTAAACCCTGAGCCCCCAAATCTGAAAGTAAAGCCTGAAATGGGGTAGTGAGTAGTGGTTTGGAACTTGGCTCGTGACGTGTCGATGCTGTAGGTCGTGACACTTAAAATATTTCCGGCTTTGGGAGGTATGTTAGTATGGAATGAGAGTCTGTGTTGGGGGTTTTGTATTGCTACAGCTGGTTGCGGTGGAAAGAAATCCCAAACTGCTCTGCGTCAAGTCAGGGCCCCAAACACTTGCCTGATGCGACCCGCCTGGAGAGGACGTACGCATCAAATTAGTAGGTACTTTGTTGATGTTTGGGCCCCCAAAGTATATACTATACTACTACCTAAACCCTTTGGCTTGCAAATGGCCACACCTAGCCGCCGACACATGGCCTCAGAGGAAATCGACAAACTCGACTTTAATCAAACACGAGTAGGATTGTACAGCGTTGTGGCCTCGAGTTCTACACCGGCTGCACTAGATTTACAACCTCCTTCGCGCTCGAGATTTCCGAAGCCTCCGCAGGAACCGCCAGAGCCACTTATGACCTCGGAATGTCGCAGGACCTTTTCAATTTGTGTCCCCCGCTGGGTCCTAGGCGAGAGCACATACTGCCAAGCTCGATTCAGGTTCTTGCACACGGGGATGTTCTGACCACGTCTGCTGCTGGCATGTTCAACATCCGAACATGTCCGGATAACCTGCAGTTTGGCAGTTGTGTGAGTTCACTGTATATACGGACGGTCTCAGGCACCAATACAATTGCCGAGTGCCCACACATGAGCAGAGCTTGTGTTTGCTCCCTTTTCCAATCACCCGTCTGTAGACTCGGGTCCATTTCTTGGCTTCCGAGATGCTACACGTGGCGTGCCTTTCTTCGGCGTGCGTGCATCAAGGCTGTGCTGAGCCAAATTCTGTACACTGTACAGGCCCACGCACCGGCAGCCTTCTATGCAGCTTAATGCTTTTAAACCTGGCAGCTATAACACTGCCGGATAAAACACCAATGAACCCTCGTCTTGGATTTTCGGGCATAACTTACCCATAATAAGCTTAAAATGGTCTTTGGGTGAATCCAACTGAACGGATTAGGATCTGGGGCCTGTAACATTTAACAAACGGCTTGTTCTTCTCCGCGCCGTTTCAGCATCATTCTGACACATGGTTGTGTAAAAAGGTGTATGTGTGTATGAATGAATGAATGAATGAATGAATGAATGAATGAATGAATGAATGCATGAATGAATGAATGAATGAATGCATGAATGAATGAATGAACGAATGAATGAACGAATGAATGAATGCATGAATGCATGAATGCATGAATGAATGAATGAATGAATGAATGAATGAATGAATGAATGAATGAATGCATGAATGCATGAATGCATGAATGCATGAATGCATGAATGCATGAATGCATGAATGCATGAATGCATGAATGAATGAATGAATGAATGAACGAACGAACGAAGGAATGAATGAATGAATGACTGAATGACTGACTGACTGAATGAATGAATGAATGTATGTATGTATATGTATACACATATATATATACATAAGTAAACAAATAACTTTGCGTGTGTACACAAGCGATGTCAGGCTTAAGTGTACGATCAACCATGGGACCTAGTGACGGAGTAGAGATACATCCGTCCTATTTGAGTGAAGTTGGGTTCAGGGTTCTAAGACCACCTCTGATTTGAAGATTTAGAACCTAACTATGATGTTAGAAAATGAAAACTTATCAGATCATACTGTGATAAACCACATTAACTTAAACAATAGTACTACTAAGAATAAAAATCATGACACCAACAATAAACATATTAGCGTATAACGATGACAAGAATAAGGGTATGGTAGTGCATGCGAAGCTCTACCCTTACTGTCTAGCCAAAGATGTTTGCGCCGAACTATAGAGGAAACCAAAGCCACGAACCCAGGATATATTTGCCCTTCATGTGTGTGCTATGCATTCCGGTACTATGAAATGTCAGGTTCAGGGTTTGGCGTTTAGGGTGTAGGGGTTCTCTAATAATGAATTACTGAGAAAGTCCTTGGAAAGTAAACCCAGACGAGCCAAACCAGGACACCCGCTCACGCGTGGTCGTTTCGTCCGCCTTGCTTGTAGCCCAAAGCCTTCGCGCGATCGTAGGCCTTGCTGAGCAAGGTCTGCAAGGCCTCTTCCTTGGACGGCTTACTATCCTAGACCGCTTGATGGATCCAAAAATAAAAGCCCAAGAAGGTATCCTACTAGTATATGGTTGAAATAAGTTGTTGTAGAGGTCCTACTTCAACGGTTTAGGTTACAGGGTTCGGTTTCCCCAATCCAGGCCGTGCAACTAATTGCATCAACCCAACTATTCACGCACCTGAACAGGTGTGCCTCAGTCGCCCGACCCGCAGGACAAGAGATATGCGGGGGGGGGGGGGGTGCATGCGCCAGCTTGATCCTCACCATCCCATCTAGCAAAACTCCATGAACTGCCACACCCCAACCCTGCAACTTCTGAATCTGCATCCCTAAGTCTCATAGAAGGCTAGCATCCGCTGCAGGCGTGACCGCCGAAACCCTGAGACCCTTCCCGGCTGTGACAGCAGGAGGAGATCTGGGTCTATGCAGGACGTCTTGCAGAGACACCGGACGGAGCTGAGAGCACCAGACTGTCATCCCCAAGAGCTTGCTAATCCTTTTGAGCCCTAGACGCTAAACCCTAAACGCTTTGGGAATCCCCAGAATTTCGAGACCGCTGCGACGTGAACTGCCAACTGAGCTTCGATGTCCAGCTCGGGAAACCCGATCATGTCCAAGAACTTCCTCCACGCCGCATGTCCGGACATGCTGCGGATGTCATGGACTTCGCTGAACTGCTCGAACCTGGCACGTATGTATATATATATATATACTATATACACATACCGAAAAGACACACTCGCCCAAACACACACACACACACAAACACACAAACACACAAACACACACACACACACAAACACACACACACACACACACACACACACACACACACACAGAAACACACACAGAAACACACTCAGAAACACACACACACACACACACACACACACTCAAACACACACACACACACACACACACACACACTTACACTTGGTATTCAGGGCCCATCCCCTCACGAAAACGAAGCCTGGATACGTAGGCTTCACGCGACCCAAGGTGCACATAGGGTCTGAAACGAAACGATTTCCGACATATTCCTATTCCAGGCACCTCAGAGCAACCCGCAAATACATCCAAGAAGCAAGGCCGATGACATCTCCGGGGATGGAAAACCATAGCGGCGATCGTACTCTGCTTTGAGCTTTGACCAGTCGGGCGGATCTTCTGCTGGTCGGACCAGGGAAAGGAAGTAGACTTGGAACATGATGAGGGTGTTCCCACGCCTGGCATTTAAGGGTTGAGCGGTTTGCGCCTATGGTTCTGGGCTCATGGTTGATGGTTGATTGTGCCAGTGGCATGCTACCCCTGCCTGTTCGCGTCCCACGCGACATCTCGCTGACGCTCCGGGGTCAGGAACAGCTCCACCTGCGCTTGTCACTCTGAAGCCCCAACGCCAAAACCTTGCAAGCCAATGTGTTGCCACTGTGTCCCACAGCAAACACTCCCAACATGCACGGGAAACCCCAGATGACCGTCACGACAGCGGTTTCATTAAACAAAGCAAACCCCAAAGGTCGACCAGAAAGCAGTTCTGCACTTGAGGTTTAGGTTTACGGCCTTCAGGGTTTTCCTGCACAAAGCGGAGAAGCCTCTGTCTGAAGGGCCAGTGCTGCTCTGCATCCTGGAATCCTGTGGGTCCCACATCTCTACATTGAAGACCACCAAACCCCTAACTCTGGGTACTACATGCTCCCTGCCACGACGCAACGTTTGAACTCCAACAAATTTCACGCAGCCTGAAAACCCAAATCAAACCGCTGAAGATTCGAAAATTCGCAAGCCGCCGCCCTTCAGGGAAGAGCCAGCAACTGACTGAACGGTGGGTTCAGGGTTTACACAGATAGCAACACACTCGGACACTTCGCGCCAGGCACAGTCTCGCTTTGGGGGCTGAGGTTTAGGGCCATGTAAATCGCCGTTAATGTTTAAGATCTGCTGAACTCCGGATTGAACAAACACATAGCGGTTCGCCCCAAAGATCCCTGTCGTCGGTGTTTTCCTGATTTCCACCTCCGGAACTTATGGGAACTATGTTGGTACTCAAACCTTCTGACAAAGACCCTGTTGGGGTCCGAGCAGCTACAGTTTAGCATAACAGATTCTGTAGGTCCGTGTCTACAGGGGAGCATTATGAGACCCTGACGGTGAGATCCTCGGCCCTCAACCATAAACGATCAACCTATCAACCCTATAAAGCCCTACACCCTGAACCTTAAACCCTCAACCCTAAACCTTTTTTGCACTCGAACCCTAAAACCCTGAAGCCAAAAAAGTGGAGGCCACGGCGAATTGCCGCTCCGGCCTTCGGACCAAAGTCTTCCATTGCAGTGATCTCAACCTGTCAATTTTTTTTTGCGGAGGCCAAGTCTTGGGGTTCAGGGTATGCGCATGGACGGAAATCATAGTGATACCAATATTACCAATCGTATATAGTAAAAAAGGTATTGATAATGACAATAGTAAGAAAGGTATCGATAATGCCAATACTAAAAAAAGGTATTGATAATTACCAAAAATAAAAATGTAGTGATGAGTACCCGTAGACATGTCGAGGTTTGCCAGCTGAAGGCTCGAAAGGTTGCTGGTTCGCTCTGTCTCTCCGTCTCTCCCTCCTGCACCCGCCTTGAGTAGTGTAGGAACCTGATTAAGAAACCTCGGGCCTTTATAGGGTTCCTTATATGAATCCTACTATTTTGGGGTTATAGGCCCAGGATCTCTTAATCAGGTCCCTACATTACCCTATAGGCCCTCGTTTTGAGCTAAGCTGTATGGGGTTCGCACTCCTCTGCAACAGGCACCGCCCGAGGGGCTGTCGACATGGTTGTTTACCACTCCGCTACGTTGGGCCAAGGCCTACTTGGAGGGTCGGGGGGACTTAGTAACTGGTTATTTTAGGGACTTATAAGTATCATAACCCCAATTAGGGTCCCTTTTAGGGTCCTTATAAGTCTACTTACTACCTACTTACTAAGTCCCGCGACCCTCCAAGTATTGTGGGACCTTGGCTCAAAAACACGCATCCCGTTTCTGATTCGACCGTGGATGCCAATCTTCACAGGGGCAAAGAACGTAAGCTTTGGCAACCAGAGCCCGCGTCCAAACTAAAGGCCCAAACCGAAACATCCTTATTGATAGATCCCCCCCAAACTCCAAAACCTGAACGCTGAACCCTTGTTGCTATTGGACCCAATGTCTAGACAGACTACGACCTGCAATCATCTTGTCTTGACCGAGGCCGACAGGCAGCTGAACGCTAAACCCCAAAACTCAAAATCTCTAGACCCCTAAATACTGCCAATGAAAGCCCCTTATCCCTAAAGGCCCTTTTATACAACATCCCTGAAGGCCCTAAACGCCCTAAGCCTTACAAACTCTCAAACCCCTTCCTTGTCCAGTCCTCGGCATCACGGCGCAAGGCGAGGGCCGGGCGGAAGCCACCAGGAAGCTGACAGCTGCCAACGTTGAAGGCCACCTTGACACTGCTGATGGACAAAATCCTGCACTACCCATTATAAGGAATATACCATAGTTCCCATAGTTGACAGTCCTTAAAGTCATGCAGGATTTTGTCCATCAGCATGAGGGGTGCCTTGCAAAAGATAATGAGGATGTTCACAGTAACGGTAGTGATAATCATGTTGAATAATGACGACAACAACCATAACAGCACTACTATCTAACAACACATATAAGAATCAATCAACAAATCCAAATAAGGAAATAATAGGTGCCTAGAAATAGCCAAATGCACATAATTATACTCTGTAGTCTTACAAACCTAATGATGGGAATAGTTTATTGTAGTGCAACTGTGTATGATTTGTAAGCGCGTTCAGCTTTGGTGGATTCAGACCATTCCATCCGTTGAGCTTCTCGATACTTTCGTGGTTGAGGGTACAGGTTTGAAGAATTCGCGTTGTCTCCGCGTCAACTTTCGCTTGATGTTTTGATGTCGTTAACGGTTGCAGCAGCTGCAGTAGTAAGTAGTACGTGCCTGTAGAAGCAGCTAGAGCCCACTTGGAGTGGTTTGGCATACTTCCGAATACCTGATAGCATCATCTCCTCATAGCTCCTCCTTCACGCAATGACGCTATGCAATAAACCCCAACACCCGACTCCTTCCACTTGCTAAGGACCCTATTTATAGCCTACGGCAACTACAGCAGGATCAGCCCTGGGTCCACGGCCCACGGCTGCTCAAAACGCTTGTGAAATCATGCGGTTCATTCCTGCACTCTGTAAAGAAACTAAGCTGAGAACCCTAAACCCTAAACCCTGAGCCCCTAGTTTAGGGTGTAAGGGCTTAGGGATAACTCTAAGCCCCTAGTTTAGATCTTCGGGGTTTAGGGTTTAGGGCATTCTGCTTCAAACCTCAACGGCCTGGGTTTTTCCAGGATTTCGGATTTTGGGGGGTGCACGAAATCGGTACCTGTAGCTTTCAGGGTTCAAGGGTGCTGGTTGCCCCGCCTGAACCCCACATTCTACAAACAGAAACGAAACTCTCCCTACACCCCAAATGCTGGACCCTCAACGGTGCCGCAATATGAGGCAGAAGACTCCGACGGACGCAGAACCAGCTCAAACTGAAGCCCATTCCGAATTCTGCAGGTGCTTCTGGGGTAGATGCCGTCTTTAAAACTAGGGAGTATGGGTTGCCGCAGCAAACCACCAACACCTTTCACTTAGCTTAGCTGTGCAATCCTCATGCGCGAGGCCCATAGGCCGCTTCAAAGAAATTCACTGACACCTCACACGACGCCCGGGGCTCTAGCTACGTAATAAATACTTAATAAACTAGTGCGGCACATAATTTCTAGCTTGAGGCCCCATAGTAGTTCCTGTTTGGGATTACCTTATAGGATACTATATATGAACCCCCAAAAAGGAACTACTATGTGGCCTCTGGCTAGCAACCTACTAGTCTCTCTTCTTCAACAACCGGGCCCAAAAAAGTTCAAACTTTCTAAGATAGAGCTAATACATAAGGCCAGAAAGTTTAAAGTTCCCCCGTTCACTATGTAAGTAGTTGAGTAAGTGGATCCCAAGAGGGACAGCCATGCTAAACACGAGCTGGATCACCCCTGATTGAAGAAAAAACATGGCATGTTGCATCCCCCTAAACCCCTAAACCCTTTTTGCATCCAGGCCTATTGCGACTTCCGGGTACCCCTAAACCCTAAACCCCTAAACCCCTTTCCCTGTAAACCCTGAACCCTAGAAGCAGAGAGGGACTGCACCTTCCAATCTTTGCCATCGGGACTTGTGCAATCGCGTGAGCATTCACTGCCACAATGCAAACCCCAATTTCCTAGACCCCCGAACCTCAAATCTGAAACACTAAACGGCCCCAAACGCTAAACCCTAATTAGAAGCCCTACAACATAGCTAGCACATCTCTTCGGCAAAGCTGCTCCCAGGTCAACCTCATTCTTCAGGAACCTGCCGAAGTCTCGCTTGCGGGTCGGGCGGCTACCGAAAGTGTCCAGAAAACTTAGCGTGCGGGGCTCTCTAAGGGCTCTTGAACATTTTCTACCACTATCCATTAAATATAATCCTGCATTATCTATATCTAAGGATGCCATTAAGGCACTCACAACCCTACGTACAAACTCCCTTGAAGCTCTGAGAGCACGCTGGATAAAGAGAGGCCACCATAGAACCCAAGGCGCCAAAAATCCCGTCATCGCCTCACGCCACCGGACTCCAGAACGGCGGTGATGGTGTCGCCCTCGCCGAAAGCAGTGCCGTAGCGTGCCCATCGACCTAACGGCTCTCTTGCAGCTTCGTGCGGTTTAGGGTGGCTTGGGGTTTAAGTTCCCAGGGTTTTGAAATTGCGCTTTAGGGCTTTTGCTGTAAGGCTTTGGGGTTTTAGTTAGGGCTTGCGGGTGGTGCGGGGCTTGCTTGGGATTAGCATGTAGCTGCAAGTCCTTTGAAATGCCGGAATCAGGACAACGGCAAGACTGGACCAGAGTGCAGGGTGTCGCGCATGAGACACTCGGTCTTGCAAAGAGCCATTCTCAGAAGGGGCACTTAAAAGAATCCGGGTACATATTTGTTACAGCAGATGTAGATTTCCATCTACTTGTGACCCCGACTAATGATGCACTCAGGTACTTTCCCCTGAACCTCTAAGTACCCCTCCAAGCTCGTTGCTTGACAGTCTGACGGCTGGACCATCAAATCCAAGTGACGGCTTAGGGATCACTATCCTAACCCTTTTGCATTCGAGCTTTGGCATCATGAGATCATGAACTGTAGCCAGTAGTGCTACGGTTTGGCGCGGTGCTGTTGTCTCTGTTACCTTCCCCGCCCAACTCCCCAAGCCCGGACTATCCGATATAGAGGTTCGGCTCAGGTCAAGTTCCCCCTTCCACTCCGCAATGCCAATCAAATCGAAGCTGCCGTTGTGTGCCTTCCAGCCGTAGCGACCTAGTTCTGCAGGGGGTGCAACGCTGAATGGGGGGGGCAGGGGGGGAGGTTGGGCGCACTTTAACCATGGTGCAGTGAAGGTCTTTGGTTTGTTGCTGGTCTGCCGCATAGGTGTTGAGACGGAATCGTCGCAATCTCTAATACTGCTTCAGCCCCATACGAAACCTTGCCCTAAACCACCGAGCTCTCAGCGTTTTGGCACGTGCGGGACTTAACCCTCGCCCTGCAAGCCCAAATCCCACCCTAAATGTCACCCTAAGCAATTCTGCTCTGGCAACTCTGCAAGGATTCAACGCCGGATATCGGCGCTAACACTCGGACAATCCATGCGAGGCATATGGTTCAGAAGTCTGCTGAGTGAAACGCACTGACGGGAGGAGCCGCAATTCAAATCAACCAAACCTCACATATACAATGCCGGATATCGAGGATCCGGCCGAAGCAAGATGCGGAGGCATGGTAGCCCCAGCCGCGACTTGTGGCCCCCACGAGCTCATCCCCCTCCTTCTCCCAAAGGAAGATGAGTCCGGCGCTAGACAGGAATGTCACGCAAATTTCAAGACGATCGGGTTGTGGTTGGGAGGGTTTTGATCCTGGTGCTTTCGCCTCTTCTGCTAGATGTTCTGACAAGTTCGTAGGTCTCGGCGGCCAACGTTACATTCCGACGAAATACCGGTGCTCAACGGCAGCTATTCATACTGCTTCGATTCAGGATGCTCCCGGAGCCTCATTTTCGATTTGTCACCTCGGAAGATCTCAATCCGCTGTAACCCAAGTTTGCGCTTAGCACGTGCGTTTCTTTCGGGATCATGTCCAAGCTTGTGCTCCGCTTCCAAAACTGTCGGTCCTCGCCCACCCAGCCAATCCGGACTGCACTTCCGGGAGGCATGCGGCGCACACGGACGGAGAAGGCATGGACACCTCACAAGTTCAATGCTTCCGGTCTCGAGTGTCGTACCCTGTGTAACCCTAAACCCTGGACGCCGACTCTGTTCATGCCGCCTTCAAACGCGCCATGTCTTTCGGAGCTGAAGGTCAAAATCAAACAAAATCTGCGTGCTGCTTCGGATTTCCGTTTCTAGATGAAGTTCCTGCCCCGGGCAAACCCGAAAACGAAACCCTCCACCCTCTACTTTCTAAACCCTGCAGATCAACGACATGCACCTGGAGTTCCGTGCAGATAGGAGCACGGAAGGCTCTGTCAAATGGAGCCATCTTCGTCTAACTGGTAGAGAAAATCCTAAATTCAAAATCCTAAACCAAACCCCCAGGCTCGAAACTTGGCCCTAAACTAGATCCTGCCTTCGGTACGGAGCCCACCTGACAAGCAGGTCCAGCCACGGTTGGCACCACGCCAGGTGCTCGGAGCCTACCATGATTGGGGTTTGGGTTTAGGGTTGTGTTTACTTGGGGGGTCGGGGGACTTAGTAAGTAGTTAGTAAGTAGACTTATAAGTACCCTAAAAGGGACCCTAATTGGGGTTATGGTACTTATAAGTCCCTAAAATAACAAGTTACTAAGTCCCCCGACCCTCCAAGTAGGCTAAATGGGTTTATCGGGTCTTGTCCAAGGCTCAGAGCTATGGGTTTAGGGTTTAGGGTTTAGGGTATAATGATGATCCTGAGAGCTTTCAAGGAGAGTCGTTGCTTCTGTCGAGCATGTCCTCTGCTTCGTATGTCCTAAATGACCAGCCGTCAACCCTAAAAATGGAATGCTAGCATGGGGTAGGGACAGCCGCAGAAAGCCGGGTCAACAAACATACGAAACTGCAGGGATCTGCCCTCCTCGGGAATGCGAAGCTCCGAGAATCAAGCATTGTTGGGAATGATCTGAGGGCCGGAGTACTTCGACTTGGGCTTTGAGGCTTGTTATACAAGAACTATGATAGGGAGCCCTAGGGAAACGACTATCTTACGGAGGACATTGAAGTAGGTGGTCTTCCAAGGTCACCCGGAGAACCTGATGGTTCCCTCCGCTCCTTTCTTAAGATGCTCCTGGAGGCCCCTTTGCAAACATACCACGAAACCGGAACCAGGTCAGCTTCTTTTGCAGATCTGGGGATTTACATAAGGGTTTCTGCGCTCGCACAAGGTTTTGGGGCTTATAACAACCACCCAGATAGACTTAAGTGCGCTGGCCAGCTCCGTCGCGGCTTTCGTCGGAGCTTCCCGATCGCTTCCCGGAACCTTGAAGCAAAGAGTTCTGGATTCATTTATAGGAATGTACAGTAGAAGCCCAAAAGTTGGAAACCCAATAGCCTCATTCCTGAGCAATGTATAGGGAATCCCAGCACTAGTTGGCCTTAGTCCGGTTTCCAACTTTATGGGGTTTACTGTAGGGGCCTGGGAACCCTTGAAAGGTTGAAAGGGGTCTATAAGGGATACGATAATCAGGGATCTAGAAGGGTACCATAATAAAGGGGGTTCAAAAGGGAATGTAGGGTGTCTCCACAAACTCGAGGAGCCTACAGCGTGTGACGCAAAAAGGCAGGATTTAGAAATTCGTCGCTTGCCCCTCGCACTCCACACCCCTCCAATAATAGAACCACTTTCCGGAAAGCCTCTCCGGATATCATCCTCGCCTTCTCAGTAAACCCCAAAAACCCAAGCCCATGCACTCCAAACACTTGTAAACGAAGTTATAAGACCAAAACCCAAATCTCTGCCCAAAGCAACTCCATCTGCTGCGCTCCATTCGCTCGCGGGGGTCTCCACTGTTGAAGCTTCTTGCCCCGGGAGAGTGGGGCGATAGCTCCTCGGAATGCCGCCCCCGAGCCCTAAACCCTAAACCCTAACCGAGCCCCGACATACTGTCGCAATACAGGAGCCTTGGTACCTAATACCTGTACGAGACTTCGGGCGTATGAGCTTACAATGTACTTATACTAAGCTATCGGACTGTATATAAGAGTTTTTTTTAATATTGCTTCCTGGATCCTTGCACTTCTTGCAGGCTTTGGGACTGATAAGGCTTTTTTGGGGCTTGTGCCTGCAGGATCTCTGCAGGAGGGAGTTTTGGGCTTCGGGGATCCAAAACGCAGGGCCATACAGGAGACTGGTCTGTCGGATGTCGGGCGCGGGGCCTTGGCTGAATCATGGTACCGGGACCACGTTGTACATCCTGATCCTGCTTCCTTGAATAATGGGAGTTTCCGAAAATAGGGACTATAATTTAATACCCTAAATAGTAGGATCCTTACTATAAGGACCCCAAAATTAGGTGCCCCTAATTCCCCGAAACTCTCATATCGCCCCATTACTCTTTGTGTAGAATCCGGGAAGCATCCTGGTGATAACTAGTCAATGCAAAATCTACTTTACAAGGTCCGCTGAGCTCAATGGCTGACTGCAGCTTTAACACAGCATTTGCAGGCTACAAGACCGTGTGATGGAGCTAACAAAGCCAGAACTCAAAATCCGCCAAGCGTCGGGTACTTCGGAAGGATGAACTGCACCTCTCTTGCCAGGGCTTCCTTCAGAAAGGTGTCCTTCACGCGATCCTGGTCTCCGAAATCAGGCTGTGTTCCTTTCGTTCTTGCTGGTGATGCCGGTGTCGGGGTACTGTTGCTCTTTGCCAGGGATGCCATGTCTTCAAGCCATGAATACATGCAGTTTGGCGTAAAAACCCACGAGTCTACAGCAGCATCCGACCTGCTCCCATGCCCTGAACCCCGAACTCTACACTCCAAAGCCCGACGAACCTCCAGATCACCGGCCGAGCTACCCAGCCGATGTTCGAGATGGTCAGCAGCTGTAGGATGTAGGCAAGCCACGGGGTTGCCTTTACAAAGGCTCCAGTCCAAGTAACAGTGTGGCCTGCTTTCTTGTTTTGTTGGCCGAAATAATCACCAAGAACCTCTATCCTGGTAGCTACCTTCACAAAGGTCCAGTCCATGTAATGGCGTGGCACATATTTTTAAGCTCAAATATCCACTAAGAACCTACAATCTTGATACGTGGACCTTCGGGCAAATCTGGAGTCTAAATGAAAATTTCGCGCGCAGGCCTTATGCTCGCAACTTACATGTTACCTTTCAACCCGAGGCCCTATAAACCCTAAATCAGGCCGCCAAGGGCTTGGGACCAGAAGGCAGCATTCGCTCCTGCAGAAGCCTGAGAAACTTGAGAAGCAGCTTCTGCAAGTGCTTTGCGGGCGCCGCCGGTTTCAAGCACTAACTGCCGAGTTGCGGTGGGGAGCCTTACATGGAACTCGAAGAGTCTAGCCCCGGAGGTTGCATCACTGTTCAATGCCGGTGCTGGAGAACATTGGAAGCACGAGCCGTCAAGTTGCGACTCTGAGATGTCTAGTGCGCATCATCACACGTCCTGTTCGTGCTTGCTATATACCGATTTCCAGCAGCCTGTCAAGTTTTCGCAGGTTTGGGTTTACCTGCCGGAAGGGAGGTATCTTAAGACTGGCAAATTTTGAAACTTCTTTGGCGATTTCCCTTGCTCAACTGTCCGTTTCGTCTTACTTCCGCCTGTGGCTTCGGGCCCCGGAACACATGGGTAGTTGTCAAAATTATGGCCCCTTTTTGGGTACCCTAAATATTAGGTGCCGCATTGTAATAAGGACCCCAAAAGGGACCCTAGTTTTGACAACTACCCGACATGTCCTGGCCTGCTTCGTACAGCCTTTGTCCGAGCCGATGAACTCCTTCGCGGCAGAACGGGTCGCTTATTGAGCATTCATTCATCCGATGAGGAAGGAGTGCCTACTCTGTTACAAACCACTGTCACTCATCTCAGGCCATGCATCCACATATACACGCCTGAGTATATAACTAGATCGGACATGAGCATCGGCACGAAAGGTAGCGACTGCATGAAGTTGAAGTGTACGTCGAGCACGTATCCTGCACTCAAAGGCTGCACCGGTAACTCCTCCAACGCCAAGTCTGCAGCTTCTCGCACCACTGGCCATCGGTCGCAGCAGTGCAGGAAAAGGCGGTGCATCACCTGACTGTCCCACGTCCCAAAACCGAGAGCCCTGGCCCAAGCCTGCAACTCACGAGATTGAGTGGTTGAAACGGCTAGTCTTCCCCCTAATACAGAAGTGCTGCGTACCCAGTATGGTGGATCCAAAAGCCCCTTTCGAGCCTTTCAAGCCTGTGCGACCACCCCCCGTCTACGTGTCATCATGCTCCCTAGACCCAACATGTCATACAGCCCCAAAATATGCACAGCCCAGCAGCGAAGTAGCCTTTCAAGAGCTTCAGGGAAGCATGGCGATCGCCATAGAGGACCTGCCAAGTGCCGCTCTCCAAAGAGCACTTTCTTGGAGCTCCATCTGAATCCTAAACCCGATATAGGCCCCAAACCCTAAGCAAAGAAAACCGCTCGTTAATCCCAAGCTGGTAAACGAACATGGAAAGCAAGTCGCAAAGCAACACATGCAGCCAAAATGAATCTGCGCCCCGAACGGAGGCATGAAGCCAGCCTACTTGGGTCGCTGCTCTCTCAGCGTAATACGCGAGCCCGAATAATTAGAATGGGGTTCTGGGCTATCAGGAACTCTAATCTGGGAATTATCTCGGCTTCTACAGTATGCTTGTTATGCTCGTCTTCATGCACGCCTGCTTCAGAAGCTGATGCATGATCTCCGGCAGGGCCACGATGGCATCCACGGCGGGCTTTGGGGCCTCCTTTGCCCGAAGGAGTCTGAAGACCGGCGGCGGGAGATGGGAATCATCTCCTGAGACCAAAGTCTGACTTATAACCTCAACCCAAAACCCTAAACCCTAAACCCAAAACCCTAAACCCTAAACCCAAAACCCTAAACCCTAAACCCAAAACCCTAAACCCTAAACCCTTAACCTACCAAAACCTCCAAGTTCCTACAAATTCCATATTAAGGTTTATAATAGGAACCTACACAAAAAAAAGGGTTTGGTAGGTTAAGGTAAGCTGCATAGTAATTCCCTTTGGGGTTCATATTTAGAATCCTATAAGGTAATCCCAAAAAGGAACTACTATGGGGCCTATGGGTGCAGCACGCCCACCGTGAGGTTTTTCATTTGTTATCTGTATGATCTACGGTCGACGGTTTCTTTACGTAAAGGTATGAAGCTAACTATCATGAGTGACAATGGCCATTTGAGAGCCATTCAGGGGTTAGAGTTTTTGTCGGTGTCGGACTAGATCCATTAGGTGCAGCTTGACAGCTACGAATGGTCAACAGCATTCAGAAACCGTCTGGTATGCAGATCTCCCTAATTAGCGAGGTCTTTTGTCCTGACATCGTGGCGATAGATCCTGAAACCGCTACTCACCTGAGACTGGTACATTGTAGATCGACACCATATTAAGTACATCCCAGTTGAGCTGCCAAAGCTTCTCGAAACCGTATTGCATGATAGCCCTCAGTCATCATTTCTAAAGACAGTGCAGTGACAGAACAACCTAAGCCCGGAAGCATCAAAATAACGCGGAGCTCCGAGGCGGTTCGGACCTTGCATTGATAACCCTCAAACATCCAATTGGAATTTATTATAAAGTTTAGGGTTTAGGGGTTTAGGGTTCAGAAACCCAAGCCGCTCTAAGCCCTGGTAGTCGTTACGGACTCTGGATTGCAAACCTGACCCCCCCACTTTATGCCCAGCTGCCCTGTGGACAAGCATCAGCAAGCTGATGGAGGCAGTCCGCCAAGAGGGGAGCCTTCGTCTAAGAGGTAACTGGTCTGAGCTGTATGGGTATGGGACAACGGCTTTGGTGTGTAACAGGCCTGGGGTCAGGGTTTTGGGAGGAGCATTAGGGAGTCGGGTTCTGAGCTCCGGGAGGGTATATGAACACCCTGAGCTTGAGGGCACTAAACCTCGGATTGCTTTCTTCTCATGGCGCAATGACACTGAATCCTGCAAAGCAAGCAGCAGCCGACAGCGCATGCTGCGCGTGCACGAACCTCGGAGGTTGTGGTATCCATCCGAGGGTTCCCTTAAGGGTTACCAACTGCAAGGGTTCCTATAAGAGTTTTCTGATTTCTGTGCGGTAACCTAACAACGCAAAGTTTGAATTCCCTAGACTCGACATTTCCGGAGCCCAGCCCCCGGGCGCAACATTACTCAATCAGCTTTTTGCTGAGGGGGGGGGGGGGGGGGGGGTCCAACACAAATCAGAACCTGACATCAAGGGTCGTGATCTGAGCGGCGCCAGCCCAGGCTGTACGACCGAAGTGCTGGAGCCACGGCCCTCAAATGCTCCTAAAGCTACAGCTGCTGCTACATGCAGCTCACCGCGCCAGCAATCGTAGCCCGCGACGACAGCCCTACCAATGAAGCAACACATGGCAAAGCACCTTACAATCATCAGAGACAGAGCCACAACCCCACCCACTACCTGCCTACCTCCCCATGAAAAACTCCGTATCAAGTCTACCCAGAGGCCCCAAAGTAGTTCCTTTTGGGGGTTCGTATATAGAACCCTATAAGGTAATCCCAAAAACGAACTACTACAGGGAACTCCAGAAAGTTGGAATATGGTTTCATGGTAGGATACCCTATAATTTACCATAGAAGGGTTAGGATAATCATATTCCAACTTTGTGGCTTTTACCTTATGGGGCCTCTGGGTAGCCAGATCCCGACCTGCAATCATCTTTGATCCTTACTACTATTTGCTTAAGAACCCCCCAAAAAATAAAAAATATATTCCTTATGGGGGTGGTATAGGGATTATTATTTCTATTTTTTGGGTGCTTCTTAAGCAAATAGTAGCTTAAAGCCCCCCCCTGCAAGCCCAAGGGCAAAGGCAGCCAGTGCGTGAGGGGCTCCTTCCACGCTGCTCGACGCAGGCCTCTTAAGCTTTCCAGGGCTCACAATCTCGAAGGCTTCAGGATGTGCCAGGCATACAAAAGGATTTATCCTATTCGGCTTTCACGCGCCGGCAACGTGGCTCAAGCGCTTCCAAGGAATTCAAGGGCCCGCATTGCAGAACCGGAACAGCCAAACCACACATTTAGCTAGGATTATCCTGCAATGCGGATGCTCCCAAGTTACGTGGCAACTCTTTCTTCGGGTTGTCCAACTTCCGTTGTTTGTACCACTCAGCCTTCCGTCGCACCCCCTTTTCCATGAGAAGAGGACCCGGCGCCTCCTTCCCATGCAGTTTGAGACACCGCGTCGAAGAAAGCTGTGAGCTTGGCGAGTCGCCCGCGACCTTGGGCACAAACGCCGATCCCTATCACGTCCTCGTCGGGGCCTATCCTCAGTGGCACGGGGTGCACAATGGCACTGATCGCCATTGAAAGGGCTGGTCCTAAAGCTGGTGTGAACCCACAAAGCTCGGGTAGCCCTCACCCCTTGCAACTCGACGAGCCATAATAACAAAACTCAATCATCATGTACGTCCGAAGTTCACAGCTTGCTTTTTCTTCATGCAACCTACTACGGCAAACAAAAATGTCGAGGACTTTCAACGAACCCTCCATACACTCCTTAAGACGTGGAGTCATCCAAAACCCCATGTCATTGGATCCTGAACCCGAATCCTTCGAAACGCACAAAAAGCCCTGAGCCCCTGTCCCGCAGGAGTGTCAAACTTTAGGAACTCCAAGCGTCTTCTCATGGAAGCACTGCACCTCTTGTGCCTCCCAGAAGAGCGGAGCCTGCCAAGAGTTGCTTGAGCTCTTCGGTCGGATTTGACGTGATTTGAGGTTGAGTTTTATGGGGTTTTGGGTTTGTGTTCTTCGGCTCCGCAGATGGGGCTACCCAGAGGCCCCAAAGTAGCTCCTTTTTGGGATAACCTTTTAGGATTCTATATATGAACCCCAAAAAGGAACTACTTTGGGGCCTCTGGCTACTCTCTACTGCTCCGACTGGCTGTCTTCCTCTTATTGCTTCCATCATGCCCTTATAGGGTAGGGTTGAGGGTTTGGGGACGGGGCGGAATGGGATAATATAGGGGCCTTAACAATAAGACAAGGGTTTTAGGGTACACTATACTAAGTTATAACAAGGAACACCCCAAAAAAAAAGTATAGAAAATCATTTAGGTCCCTATAGTACAGCTTTGGCAAAGAATCGCGGGGAGGCCTGGGCTGCTTCCTGCCAAGCAGGCACCGCATAGGAAAGCGAGAGTCGATCGTGGCGGCGTAGGCAGGCCATGATTTCAAGCACCACGGCCTTACTGTAGGGGCCTTAATAAATAGAATAGGGTTTGGGGTCCATTATACTAGATAGTTTGGGGCACTGCGGCCTTGATGTAGGAACCTGATTAAGAAACCTTGGGCCTTTATTATTAGGGTTCCTTATACGAATCATACTAGTTTGGGGGGTTATAGGCCCAGGGTTTCTTAATCAGGTTCCTACATTACTCGTACCAACTAAGATGTTCCCGGGCAAAGGTTCGTAGCTGGCCTTAACTTTTAAGTAGTGGGTGCCCATCGGCCCCATAGTAGTTCCTTTTTGGGATTACCTTATAGGGTTCTACATATGAACCCCAAAAGGGAACTACTATGGGGCCTATGGGTAGGGTAGGTAAAGTCTTGAGAAGGACAGCAGTATTACACATTGTACATATGTATACATTCTTCACGGGTTTCCCTACAACTATGTATCGTTCCACCTCAGTTACAGAGTGCCGCCTCAGCTCGCAGACCACGCACCGAGGCAGCACCCAAAACTGAAGCAGCACCCAAACTGAGGCAGCATGCATCTGGCATCTAGCACGTTTCTTCCCAAAGCAAAAACCCTTTCCAACTAAACTCACCAAATGGTACCTGCGTGCCACCCAAAGTATCGTTCCTCCTCCACTTCTGCGTGCTGCTTCCGCCAGCTGAAGCAGCACCCGAAATTGAGATAGCACCCAATTCGAGGCGGAACGGCTAGGGAATCCCTGGAAGTATAAATGATATGATAAATATATACATGTATATATATATATATACATATGTATAAGTATAGACTATCTATTTACCAATCTACCTATCTATACATCTATCTGTCTATCTAGCTATCTAGCTATCTGTACATGAACAGATGGACACATAAATCATGATGAAACAAAAGACATCTATATATATATATATGTAGTAGTTCAGTACCAAGACGTACCTATAACTATCTATTAGAAGCTTCACTTTGCAGATTTAACCCCGAGACCTCCAGGACCTGAAGTATGTGCATGCGAGGAAGCACGAGCAACATCAGTGAGCAGAATCTCATGGCTGACGAGAAATCTGTTCAAGCTTCGTCTTCAGTTGTGGCTAGCTTGCTCTTCTCTGTCTTGATTTCCGGCATGAGCGCATGGCTTCTAAGCCCAGCGGTTACAGTGAATGCCAAATAAATCGGAGTTCAACCAACACTAAAAGCCACACTGGACACAAAAGGAGTCCACATCAACCATACAGTCCTCAGAACCGTAGCCTCAAAACATTAAACAGGGATCAGCATGCAGTCCTGTCAAGCCTAACCTCGTAAACCTCGAGCCCGAACTCTTTCAAGCAGGCTGCTGCAGGCCAGCTCGACATGTAGGCCATTCTCTGGATCGCGTCTTTACGACGTTGCAGTGCCAAACCCGTCTCTGCCTTGCTATCTCGGGAGGCTTGGTAAACAAGCTGGATCAACAGACCTGGTGCAGACGCTGGCTAGCATGTGCAGAAGGCCATGAACGAACTTGAAGCAGGGTTGTCATTCGGAGGTGAGCTATGTTAGAACCTTCGTCGAGTCGTGGAGGTGGGCGTCTATGGGAGGAGAAAGTCAAAATCACGAAGCTTTGTTCGCCGAAGTGCTCCTCAACCGTCAAGCCTAAACTCTAAAACCCACCACCCTCAAATAACCAAAGCTCTGAGTCATCCCGAGTCCGAATCCCCAGCCGGGGTGCAAGGGATGCGCCAGGTACCAGTAGCCGTTTCGGCGGCGCATCGTCACAGTCGATGGCCTCCGGAAAGGCCGGGTGGTGAGGACCAGCGGGTTGATGTCCACATCGACATGTGAAGCCGTCATGGTGGTCGACCATGATTTCAATGGCCTCAAGAAGTATGGAGGGTTTAGTAGGTTTAGGACCATGATTTCAATGGCCTCAACGATTTAGGGTTTAGGGCTTAGGGTTGAGGACCATGATCTCAATGGCCTCAGCAAGTATGGAGGGTTTCGTCTCTCACACTCGCACACGGCAGGCAAAACTCCACACAAGTCTGGAGGGTTTCAGCACTCACACTCGGACAAGTCTGGAGGGCTTAGGGTTTTAGGTCTCAGGGGCTTACATATTGTAAAGTGGGTTGGGTGTGGGGTTGTGGTGTCTTCAAGACTTCGGATTTGAGCGTGTCGCATCGTGCATGTCAGAGGGTTAATAGGCCCAGGGATCGTTACAAGTCAGCTCTGGGACCTAACAAATAATAAAGTATTCGCAAGTTCGCATTACCAATTTCTTCTTTTTGGAAACGAAACGCGGACATCAACAGCAGCAAACGATGCGCAAAAGCCGAGGAAAGATGCGGCATTCGCCTGCCCGCGTGGGTGATCACAAAGCTCGCAACGCCGGTTCTTCTTCTGGTTGTGAAGAGTGCACCTGGAGTTGCTGGAAGGGAATTTCCTACATGGTCACGGCGCTAAGACGAAGTAGTGTACCCTATGCCCTAAACTCCCTCAACCCAACCATCCGCCTGGGACACTTCCACCATTCCGAGCCGTCGCCTTCGAAGAAGAAGGTCTGCAACCTGGATTCTTGGTTCAGGGACAACAAGCGGGATCTATCGTAAATATCATATGTCATTGTTATGGGTAACTTAAACTAAAAAGTGAATTCCTTAACAAGAACCCAGCAACTGACGAAGAATGGCCAGCACACTGTAGGCACTGCTCCAGCCCATGTATGGCTTGCACTTCCTCGATTGGCAAATTCACAATGCCGCCTTCCTCCGCCTTTCTGGTATATTACCTTCTACACCCTAAGACCTAAACCTTGGAAGGCCTAAACCCTGCTTACACGGGCTTGACTGAAGCACCAAACCCTAAAACCTTGAACACAGGAGGTTCCTTTAATTGATTTAATGTCCCAGAATTTGAAATCTTGTCAAGGCTGCTCTTCATCTGCAGCCCACTCGCCTCCTTCCAGCATATCCTTGGTTCCGATTCGGGAGGGCAGAAGACAGGAGCCAGTATTTGTATGAGCTCCCCTCGTAGATATCACGACCCCGCCACAATGAGCTCTGAAACCTAAACCCCTAACAGGGCTTGACAATGTCCAAGTATCCAGGCAGATGAACGTGGAGAACACGTTCGGATGCTGCACTGTGCTGCCCAGCACGTGTACACGGGGAGGTCGCATCGGATAATCCTCCAGGACTAGGCAGCTTTGCAGTGCAGTGGTTTTACATGGCTTTTTCCTGAGGGCTTCTAGGGATTAACTCACTGTTTGAGGGGCATCCTGCCAGCCATGACACTCACAGCTTTCCTGCACTTTCTCCCTCACCATGGCAGATAAATGACACCCACCCCCCCCCTCCGAAAAACACACACCAAACCAGGAGGCCGATATCAAAACCCAAACCCCAAACGTCCTCTAAGCCTCGAAATCTCCCCCAGACTAACCCTAAACCCTTCTGCTGCTCGGGAGCCTGGGTGAAAGTCAGCTCGAGGTGAAGAATCCTTTGCAAGGGTATCTCTCGCCTCTCCCTGTGATTACGGCTCCTGCCTCCTGCCCGCCTGCATGAAAATTACGAGTCATTATGTGTAATCCAGTAGCTCACTAGCGAGGTAACTGGAGCCCTATAAGGCCGAGTAGAGAATTTAGGGTGTAGGGTTTAGGGTTTAGGGTTTAGGGTTTAGTAGAGAAGTCACAGCCCCAGTTCAAGACGGCAAACTTTCGTGAAATCTTAGCCTATTCATCATTTTTTTAAAATTCGCCAGCTGGCTGCCGAACATACACACGCGCGCGTCTACTCTCACTGTTACTCGTCCGCCGGAAAATCTTGTACGGGACCCCTTATATAAAACTTATAAAGCCTATAGTAAGACCCTGAATTACTAGAAAGATCTCTGATTGCTATAAGGCATCCATAAGTTTTACAGTATAGCGTTTTCGATCTGAAACAAGCCTCTTGCGGCCGAAGAAGCACTGGCGATCCGCCCCCAGGCGGCTGCCCCTTGACGTTGCAGTGCCAGGTGAAGAGGTCATCCTTCAGATTGTCGGTTTACTGCGAAGATCCGCAGACTTTGCAAGGGGTACGCTTAAAGGTTGAGGGTACATACCGTGCGTGGGGCTGCAAGTATCAAAAGATGGCACTGTACTGACCTTACTTGTGCTTACTACGTCCCCTGATCCTCCACGTAAACGTAGGTAGTTCAGCTGCTTCGGCTGTTTGAGATTGGGGCTCGGAGTTTACAGGCTTTAGGATTGGGGGTTTCGACTCGCACACTCGTACAAGCAGGCACGAGTTCAGGAGTTTAGGGTTTCGGGTGCTTTGTTTTGTGTTGGTGGTAGAAACCCTAAACCCCTAAACCCTTTTTTGCTGCAGGCTTGCTTGCAAGGACGCCTGGTAGTTTGCCGCTCTTCCGCCAGTTAGGACTGTGCTCTAAACCCTAAACCCAAGACGGAAAATGCCGCATTGACGAAGAAAGAAACTCTCGACCTCCTCCCCAACAACAACAGCGTCGGAAGCCTACTCTTCGAGTCTACCCAAAGGCCCAAAAAGTAGTTCCTTTTTGGGGCTCGTACAGAGAATCCTATGAAGTAATGTCAACAAGGAGCTACTATGGGGCCTCTGGGTAATGCTTTATTAGGGATCTTATCGCGTTTTGATGGATATCCCTGTTGTTCGTACAGTGATCTCGGCAAGCTCGGTCATGCAGCATATCTGCTGAGAGGAAAGTCATCGTCTGCTTAACACATGGCCAAAGCCTTTGCTGAAACATGGCAGCAACTGCGGATCTCACTGAAGACCTCTACCCTTACCCCTGGCTAGCTTAAACCCTATATCCCAAAGCCGAGCTCTATAAGCCCAAACAATGCTCGATTATAGAAGCCACCCAGCATGGACCCCTCCAGAAGGCCCGTAAACCCTGCACCCCTAGTTTGGAAAATCCCAAGGGACAGCTCCAACAAGGACCCTTCAAATTGCTGCCGTCCTCCAAGGGTTCGGCAGAAACCTGTGAGGCTTGGAGGTCGGAGGTTTCGGGCTGCCCGGTTCCTGCTTAGGGCTTCAGTGCGGATTGATATGGTTATGAATTTCGCGTCTGGGGCTTATGGCAGCGAGTCTTTATGATATAGGGCACCCAGAAAGCCAAGGCTAATCACAGAGACCTCTTTACCAAAAGCCCTCCTATTAGCCGTTATAGACACCTTTTTGAATGAACTCTGGAAGGAGCCCTATTCTCAGAGATGCTGACATCTCTGAGAACTAGGCAGCTAATCCGCGAAGATATTTATTCTAGACTACCCTAAACCGCATACATGCGAGCCTTTTGGGCTTGCGGTCTATACCATAGTAGAGAAATATTGTAGGGACTGTAGCTAGTAGAGTGTTTCGATTGTGATTGGTTTTACCCAGGCTCCTACATCAATGTGATAGTAATATACAATGATTAACTGCTAGTAGCATGCTCGCTAACCATTCATGGCTTAGGGTTTAATGGAGGTCATCGTCTTAGTCTTCAGTAAGCCGTAGGTTCGCAAACCTAAATCCTGAACCCCTAACATTTGCATCATTCCGCCAAGATGCGCCCCAGCTGGGCTCGCGATGGACAAGCTGCAGCTCTCGTTGCAGGCGTCTTGCAGCAGGCGACGTGCTACTGGACATGGCTCTTGCTGTCTGTATACTGGCTAGCAACAACATGACCATTGAAGGAGGGAGGCATCAAAGTGTTCGGTTTAAGGTTTGGGTGAATGTGTGTATGATCGAAACGAGGTTGGCGTGGTTTGTTGGCAGTTCGGGGGATGTTCGGAAAGCAGATCGGTTAATGAAGGGCCATGCGGTAGGCAAGGGGCAGAACCATCGAGGTGAAGGCAGGCATGCATTGAGCCAAGATCCACAATAAGTGTGCAGCTTGCTCTCTGCAAGATGGAACATGGGCTGGAAAGAGAAACTGAAAGTACAGCTTTGCCACACATATAATCATAATATTAAAAACTTCAGAATCAAAATCAATATCTCTGGAACCTGCATGTGCCTATGGGAGGACTCCCCAACATGAAACCTGTTTGAGCTCCCGGCTGTTCTTGCGAAGCTTTTTGGACATATCTTCCTCTTCCGGAAGGTAGCGCCTCCGAGCCGCAATTAGTCTGTCCATGCTGAAAACCACAGCTCTGTCTGGTTTGTAAGTTTTGTTAAAAAATGGCACCTAAGTAACTTCATCTACACACATCTAGCACTGCCTTGCCGGAAATTCAATAGTGCCCCCGTCAAGACAAACCCATGTTTCGATCATCACGGCCTTAGCGAACACCGCCGATGCTTCAGGGAATCAAGACCAGAGGTGAGGACCGAAGGTTTGTAGGTTTCCTACAAACCTTGGGTCTGAGCCTTGCAAAAGATCAGAGTACGTGTTCTAGGAAAGTGCTAGTCAACGGCGGTCACATCTCTGAGAGCGACATACGGTATCAGGAACCAAAGGGTCAACCCTAGTTCAAGCTCAACCTACATAGCAGTTAGGAACCGTCCTTGACTGGAACGATAGGCCATAAACCCTAGACAACATACCACGATGGTCCGGATGAAAGCTTAAGGAGATCTTGTTGAGCCGTAACGCACCCCGAGTGCAAAGATCCCTCTCCCCCCTTTCGTCAAGCCGAATCGCTTCGTCAAGCCCAATCAACTTCTGCATTATGTATCTTTTGATATTGTACACTATGTCATGCATACGTGTATTATATTATGTTGTATTATAGGTTCTGAATTATAAACTATGTATTCCCTTCTAGCCCTACTACAGATTAAATCATATAGAACATACTTATATATACGTATATCGTGTATCAGAAGCCAAGGTGCTGTAGCAACGCTATCTTCTGCTCTGAGGTCAGTGGTGCAGGCTCCTCACTTCAAATCGTGCTCATGAAGGTCTTTCGTTGTTGAAAACCTAGGGTCTGGGGTTTAGGGTTTGAGTCATTGACGTGTAGGATTTATGCAATCGGTCATGCGGACGCCCACGAAGCGAAACCCTTGGCGACTAAATGGATGCTAATCAAGAATTGACTCCAGTTAGCCATCTCTTGCCTGTCTGCGGCCACGGCGATTGGCTAACCACAGCGCCACAAAGTCTGGCACAACGTATGGAGTGGAAATATTAACAGAACGCATGGGATGTGTAGGATTTAGCTCCTTCCCTGATTGCCTGTCACAATGAGAACTCTTGCTTCTTCCGGCGCGCATTGCTGCTAGGCCGTATCCTGGTTGCTATCCTACCAGTTCCATGACTCAAGTTGATCCGGTATCTTATCCGAGTGTTGTGGGGTTGACAGTCAGGCATTCTCGTCAGTATTGCAAGTTCCCTTTGAGAACTAACAGTGCCGTTCATGCTAATATGTACGGTAGCACATCCCTCTCAAGCCTTTTCTTCTTTGAAGCTGGGCTCTTACACTAGACTTTAGACCAACATACCATGATCAGTCTCACTCACCATCTGCCTGTGGACACACAGGCGAGGTGACTCCCTAAACCCTACACCCACCAATAAAAGTCTAAGCCTACAACCCAAACCTCCAAGCCCTAACCCCAAAACCGATAATCCGAAATAAAGCCCAAACCCTAGCCCTAAGCCCCCAAACCGAAAACCCCAAAGCCTTATGCCCAAAACCCTACACACTAAACATCCCTAAACCTTTTGAACCCAGGCTCTACTCCGCATCACCCTAAACAGCCTTATTCCCCAAACCCTAAAACCCTACAACCCTAAACCCTAAACCTTATTTCCCAAACCCTAAGCCTTATTCCCCAAACCCCTAAACCCTAACCGCTAAACCCTAAACCCTAAGCCCTAACCCCTAACCCCTAAACCCTAAAACCCTAAACCCTAAACCCAAAGTCCTGAACCCAAAGAGGCTCCTTGGCGGCTTCCGAGCGAATCAGACTCGCCTTTTCACCACCATGTCTCCCCAAATCCTCGGTAAGCTTAAGCTATTTTCCCTCCTAAGCCTACCGAGGATTTGGAGAGATGGTGGTGAAAAGGCGAGTCTGATTCGGTAGGCTTAGGCTTAAGTTTTGGGGCTTAGGGCTTAGCAGTCTCAGGGCTTAGTTTAGGGTTTAGGGTTCCAGCACGCACAAGTAGGCACAGCCAGGGTCACTGCTTGTGCAAAAGAGGGTTCTTTGTCGTTTCCAGGGCTCCAGAAAAGTTTGATAGGGGCTTAGCGATGCCCAGATCGTGGGTAAGCTCTCGGCTCTTGTGTAAGACTTGGCACAAGGCTTCTGTTTATAAGGGTCTATTCGGGATACCGAAACGGGTTCTTTGATGTAGCGCCCTAGTAAATAGAAGGTGTTGGGGGTGTATTTGTATATCTTGTGTATATAATGATGATGTTCTTATATGGGGACTATGACGGGTTGGGTCTACCTTCCTGGATTTGACATGTTAGCTCCATGGGTTTAGGGTTTTCTAGCTTGGTGCCTTCAAGTTTAGGCTTAGGGCTTGTAGGGTTTACAGCTTTTTCGCCACTCGCTCAGCTAGGACATGCCCAGTTTGGGGTCTAGGGTTTTCAAGACTCAAGCTTCCAAGGGGACAAGGAGGGACCCTTAATGGGGAACCCTACCCTATAATGGGCTATGTAATGGGTATAGAATAGCTAGATTAAGGGTATATACCTAGGGGTCCTTATTAAAGGAATCCTAAACCCTAAACCCTTTATAGAACCCTTTTTGATCCCTTAAATACCTAGGGGTCCTTATTAAGGGTCCCTCCTTTTACCCTTGGGAAGTTGATTTCCTGAGCACCCTTTTCCTACTGCCCTGAGCCCAGACCACGGGGCTAGGCCTGAGATTAGGGTTGTCAAGTTTAGGGTTTAGGGTTTAGGGGTTTAGGGTTCAACTTAGGGTTTAGGGTTTAGGGGTTTAGGGTTCAACTTTTTAGGGTTTAGGGTTTAGGGGTTTAGGGTTCAACTTTTTAGGGTTTAGGGTTTAGGGGTTTAGGGTTCAACTTTTTAGGGTTTAGGGTTTAGGGGTTTAGGGTTCAACTTTTTAGGGTTTAGGGTTTAGGGGTTTAGGGTTCAGCTTAGGGTTCAGAATGTAAGGTTTAGACCCTTTTTTGCCCCTAAAAGCTGAAACCCTAAATCGCGCGGGGCTGTAATATAGGGGCCTTAATAGTTAGAATAGAGTTCGGGGGCCCATTATACTATAATCATAAAAAGGACCCCCCAAAATAGTATCGGTAACTGTTAAGGCGCCTACAATAGGAGTGAGGACTTTGCGATCACGCTGCCGCACAGAGTGCCACGTCCGGGCATATTGAGAATGCCCCAAGAAGCTTCTGGTGATTGAGATCTGGGATAAGATTTTATTACAGGGGCTAGTTAATTAGGCGTTTAGGGGTTTACGCTCTCGCAACTCGGACTGGCCCGACGAGGTCTCGGGTGCGAAACACTTTGACTGTTCGGCACTAGAGGCTGGCAAGCAGGGTTTAGGGGTTTAGGGCAAAGTTTGGGTTGCGGATGAGGGAGGTTCTCGCATCCGAGACTCCTGCTGGGAATCAACCACTCCAGCTATGAATCCTCAAGACACACACACACACACACGCACATACTTAGACTGACTTCTTGCAAACCAAACTTCAAGTACATCTGAGATCTGTTGTCTCGATTCGTGGTCATGAAACCCTGTATACTGTATGCCTGACAAACCCTGGGCTTTCAAGCCTTTACTCATCCTTAACCTAATCCTATACCCCCTCAGAACCATAATAAACATTTTATGTTTAATATTCTCTTGGGTTTTATATAAACAAAATAAAGCAGCTATTCCTAAGGAGACTATAGAATCTTTGACCTTCAACCCTAGTAAGGCCCCAGCCCGAACGTAGTGTTCCATCGCCTGGTTCACGTGGTAAGCAGGTGCGCGATCGTGGATCCCCTATGAAGTTCACGTGAGTTGGCAGAATGAGTTCGTAGTAGTCAGCAGGCCCCCAACTCTTATTCTTTACTATACTATACCCCAAGACCCTGTTCTAGTCATTGGCGGGTGTCCAGTGTAACCACCTGAAGCTGTCGTACCAGGAGGTTGAGGTACTGCCGGCTTCTGAAATGCTTAGCGGGCCTGAGGCTTCTTTGTACCACGAAATATAGGGGCCGTAATAATTGGAATAGGGTTTGGGGGCCCGTTATATTATAGCAATAAAGTGTGTAACCCCCTATATAGTATAGGTAGTTACTATAAGGCCCTTATAGCCCTTATAGTATACAGACACGGCCACTGCAGTTCAACAAGGGCCTAACTTCAGAACATTTCCAATCCTGCTGAAAGCGTAAAGCTGTGGCCAAGGGTCCAGAGCCTCTGGCAAACCAGGCGGTTCAGCTACCCAGTGGGGTTTACATGAAAAACCGAAAACCTTCCTTGTATCCTGCGACGCCCAACACGACCTTCCAACCCCAAGACCATGGTCTTGCGTAGAAGCCCAATTACCTTTTGCAAAGCTATGAGGCCCCTCTTATAAAGTCCACAAACTCCCCGAAAGCCTAAAACCCTATACCTTATAACCTTGAACCCACCCTACACTGTAACACCCTAAACCCTATATCCCTAAACCCTATAACCCCCTTAACCCTATATCGTGTAAACCCTATATAACCCCTAAACCCTATGACGCCTGTAACCCC